GCTTCATATCTTTCAGTTCAGGCCTCAGAAATGTGAGGAGATAAGAGCTGTAAATGTAGTTATACTTGATGGCAATAATGCTAAAAAAAAAAGGGAAATTTTTTTAATGGATCATTAACATTTATTACATGAGTATTAATATATTATTAAAAATTAAATTCTAGGGTGTCTTAAAGAATTGAGTGGCTTACATACTCTTATCAAAACTTTGTTTTATAACAACAATAATAATCAACTATACCTTTTCCTTTAAAACACATACAATGGAAACCAAAAGGCCTATTTGATATTTTCCAGGTGTTATTCTTTTATCTCAACTCAGTGAGTCTCAAGAAACAACCTGCATCTAATGGAATAATTGCAGAAATGTATTACCATGCACAGTGTGGAAATTTAGCCCTTCAGTTTTTTCGAAGCTCTGGAAAGCATGTTTTTCTGTTATTCACCTATTGAGACAAGCATAGCTGGAGCAGATGAAAAGCATAGCCTTGGTCATACCAATTCCTAATCAATAAAAAGCTAGACTTAAGCAGAAAATATAACACAGATTTGTGCCCCAGCAAATCTGCCATTTTTATTTTATCATCATCAGAAACAACATTCTGACAGAACCCATTTACTAGCAACTGCCAACATATATAAGCCGTATGGGGTCTTGTGATTCAGATTTAGGAATATCAGCCCCAGAAGGTCTGAGGCTTTGTACATTAGTGTATATTGAGTCCTCATTCCAGGTGGCAAACAGCTGCACCTTTTAAAAATAAAATAAAAGAAAATAAAGAAAACTTCCAAAATGAGCCTGAAGTGCTTGTTTTCTGAAGAGAAGTGTTATATTTCATTGAAGCCTTCTCCAAAATGTTATAAATTAGTCCAGAAAAGGAATTGGGAATATTTAATATATTTGTTTTGTGTTCCCAATGGTCAACAGAATAATGAAATTCCTTAACTACTTCTCTTTAACTTGCATGAAGAAAGCACGGTGTGTTGCTAAATCTCTTTTCACCAGCACTGCCGAGAAACAACTTTAATCCTTGTTAGAAAATTGCAGAGTCTGGGACTGACAAAGAGCTCATGCTTGTTCTATTGTTAGTGCTTCTGGACCCTGAGAGTGGAGCCCTTTACAGCTGCATGTATCCAGCCTGGCTCAGCTGTACTATTTAGGAGAGGAGGTTTGTCAATTTCTATTGACAATGGGGAGAGTTTTTCTGTGCCTGTAGCAGCGCTGACACAGTTGGGGATCAATGCCAGCCATTCAGACTACACCCTCTTTCATTGCTTTGGTTTGTTAATTCAAGACTAAAGGTCCGCGGAGGGGGTTTAGGGTGTTTAAGAAAGCTGATGAACTGTTTAAGAAAGCTGATGAACTGAAAGCGTTTATAGCCCTAGTGTGGCAATTTCCATAGTCAGTGGCAACTACTGGCACTAAGGGAGTTGTGTCCTTGTTGACCCTCGCGTTATTAAAAATGCACGAGCGCTGCGCTCCTCGATATTTCAACACTCTTTCATTGTCAATACCACCTTCTGGGCCCTTCAGCTTGTTGCTTGCTCTAAAGATCTCCTTAGATTGGGTTTGAAAACTTCACCTTAAACACTAGATTAGACTGATGTTCTGTTTTCCGTGCTCCTGTTGATTTGTTGAACCTTCCCAGGGCTGGAAAGCAAGTAGCGGCTTGATGGGGAGACGGGCTGCTAATATGATTTACCAGTCTACAGTCATGCACAATAAGTGTGAATAAATACAGGGGTCTCACAGAGTCAACCCTAGCCTTTCCTTTTTATTTTTGCTTTAAAAGAGATATCTCAGGAAAATGAAGTGAGTAATGCATGCCCTTACAGGAGCTGGATGAAGCATAAATAAAAAAATACATATTTTTTTTTCCTGTTAAAGTGGTTGGCTGCTGTTGTGTTATTGATGTGGAAAAAATATATAATATACACTTACTGCTTTATTCCTGTGTGGACCACAGCAAAGAATAAAGCAATAATGTCATGCCATTGACTTCAGTGAGAACTGCTATGCCCCTTCATTGCCCGTCCCCTGAAGGAAAAAGTGAATAGTCAGCCAGCAAATGTTTTATTATAATAACTTCTTCAGAATGAAAGGATGTTTTCTGGATGTTTGAACGTTTCCGCAAATTGGCCCTACTGCAAGGCATTTTGGGGGGGGGGGGTGGTGAGGGCATTTCTACTTGATTCTGTTTTTTCTTGTCCTAATGAGTAAAAGTGGGACCTACTGTACTCCAGGACCCAAAGAGGCTTATGACCTGGGGTTTTCAACACCAGTTGCTATGCCAGAAATAGAAAAACCCTTACCTCTGCTTTTTCTTTTGTTTTTGTTTTGTTTACAAGAAGCAATCACAATGGTGAGAATGAATTTTCCATATCTGTATCCATAATGGCTGTAGGGGATTCTGTGCCCATCTGCTGTTTTTCTAGAGCAGAACCCAGGACTCCTTTCTAACCTTCACTAAAGTTCTTCAAGATTCTATGACCTTTACATTTCAGTACATGAATTTTCCCTTTCTCCTATTGCGGTGGCTGTGTCTCTGTGATATGTAGTGTTGCTGATATTAATTACTTCGGTATTTTTACTCAGTGACAGTTCTGATGTATTATTTCTGATAGTGTTAGAGAATCTATTGACAATTTTTCCCCTCAAAAATGCTTTTCACTGTAGACTTTTATATTTTAGTCATAGGATCTAATAATTATTATTAATTTCTATTTTATATTAAATGCGCTTTTGATTATCTCTTCATAGTAATTATCACATTTGTGCAGCAGAGGAATAAAGTTAAATTAAGTTTAAACTGGGTGAGGCTTTTTTTTTAAGGAGAGGATATTTATGGAGTTATGTTGAAGCATTATTTGATTTTCTCAAGTAGGTCTTCAAAAGTGAGGTTAGTACTAATATGTACAGAAATGGGCAGATGTAGCAGGAGATCTTAACTAATACTTTGTACCAGAATTCGTGCTATGAGTGTTTCCACTTTTCATAGGAGTAAGCCATTTTTTACCCAAAGAAGGAGTATAATTTTAAATCCTTTTTTTTCCTATCTGACCAGATCGTGGCCTATGTATGATCCTTAGGACTTTTCCTCATATAGCATATTTGATTATCAATAAAATTGATCTGTCTTTTTATTTTAAAGGAGAAGTTATGATGTTGATGTTTGAAATAATGAGAACTAGCAAAGATAAAAAATAAGTATGACAGAAACTAATATGAATAACTGAGGGATACTAAGGTATACAATATTAGCAGAAATAATCAAATGAATTCAGTTGAAAATTTAATTAAATATGTTGAATGTTATTAACAATTTGAGCATTTAGTTTCTTAAAACCTGTAATTCCTAATGTTTTTAAATCTCATAAAATAGGAATATAACCATGTGAAAAAGCAAAAATAGATTGTGAATAATAGTAAAAAAAACCAAATCACATGTTTTAAATAGCATAGAATTTCATCCGTTATCAACTTGACATTATAGTGTTTTGCAAATCAGTTATTCCATATTTTAATTAGTTTACTTGATATTTTGTGTATGTTCTGTACACTAATTTAGAAGAAGTATAATGACATGTGAAGCCAATTTGTTTTTAGAAACTTATAATTAAAATACCTTTTGTTCTAGTTAGATAAAAATGTGTAAGAGCAACTTTTTAATAAACATGAGTTAAAATGCTAAGAAAATCAGAATTTCCCAGTTGAGATAACTCCTCCCCCTAAAAATGTTATTAGCTATAAAAAAAGATTTTTTTAAAAATTGTCCTCTTTATATTTTGGTATTCATATTTACATTATACACATATGTACTAGCAAGTTTAAAAGTACACTCAGATATAGCACATACATATAAGGTCCCTTAAATAGTCATATAAGCTGCTCTGTCCTTTCCCAAATGCTGTCTAGAATTTGGTTTCTGCTTGTAGCACATTCTCTTCACAAATAGCATTATTCTTTGAGTTGCCTAAATCTGCTTACAGTAGCTATAAACTGAACTCACTTAACATACAAATTGTGACTTCTGGACTGTCCTTTTGGCATATACAGACCCAGAATTTCTCTTAGTTACACAAATGTGGACATTATAAAGAAGCAGGAAATTACATTAGGGGAGGATTTCAGTCTTTCTCCTGTGGAGAGACCTGCAATGAACAGGGCAAGGACATGAACTCTCCCAAAACTAAATCGTTTCCAAAATGAAGCAAAACCTTTCTTCTTGCTGTATGAGCAGCAGACATCCATTGAGTCATTTATTTCAGAAAGAATACTGCCATGACAAGGTTCCTCAGATCCCAGGAAGGTTTATTCATTGTTAGTTGGATCCAAAGGATTTGAGAAGAATCTAACCACAGTAATAGGTCTAGGTCTTGGTGAAGATTTCATTTGTGAGTAGAAAGATGTTTTTGTTGGGGGTGCTTTTTTGCCATAATTCCAAAATAAAATAAAAGATAGACATCAGAAGATATTGACTCTGTGCCATGGTGACATCTACCATTTGATTTTTTTGTAGGACTCTACAATATTGCATGAAAACTCTGAAGTGATGCAAAATTTCTCTTTGAAAATAATTTAGCTGGTTTTCCCCCTGCTGTCTCAGCAGGCTATTCATTGCTATAAACATGTATTTAGTGCCCATTGTTACTTACGGCTTACAAAGCAGGCTACTGGGCTGCAAAGTGCAAAGCTCTGTTTCCCTGTGAATATTCTGCAGCTGAAAGACTAGTGCTAATTCATGTAAAGCACAGTCTAGGTCAAGTTAGCAGATTTCCTAGCAAAACATGCAATTCTCTTAACAGGAAATTATAGCATTATTGACTTCAAGTGCTGATCTGTGGTCATTTCAGAGCATTTCATTACCCCTCATTACCAAATCTGTTAAATGAATACTGCAGAGGTGTTTTTTGTGTGTGTGTGTGTGTTTGTTTTGGTGTGTGTGTGTGTGTTTTCTTTCCCTCCTTCCCTCTGCCCTGCCCCCCATCCTTTTTTCCAGCAATGGTACAGCAGCTCCATGAAAGTCATTTCTGTGTGGTTGGCGGATAGATTAGACCTTCAGCTTCATATCTACCAACTGAAGACTCTCATCAAAATAGTGAAGGTAAACAAAATGGCTTTGAATGTGGTGGCCTATTACTGTTTGATACAAAAGATAAAATTTCATTAGGTATTTTGGAGGGAAGTGTAGACCTTTGACTTTGTAAGTACAGGGAAATTCCAGTGTAGAAACTCCCATCACAGATGCAAATGGGCGACTCCTTAGTGATTTATGGTCTTAGAGAGTGGCATGGGGACACTGAGAGGGATTGACCATTGTCATACAGCTGGTAAGTATTTGAGGCAGGACTTTAACGCATTACTTCAAGCCTGGGCTTCTGTCTATGCTGGCATAAGTAAGTAATTTCTAAAAGGTATAGGGGAGAAAAGCATTGCTCAATTTCACTGATTCACATAGGCATGCCATAAAATCTACTCATTTTTCCAAAGTTTTCTAATTCATCACCAATTTATCTTAGTTGACACACATGAACAGGAAAATAATTATGTTACTGTAATTTGCACAATTCTATGTTATGTTAATTCTCTTAGATCTGGAAATGTGACTGAATAGGAATTCAATGGGATATTTTCTCATATACTCTGTCATCAAGGTTGCCTGTTTTGGATTATGTTTTTGTTGAACCAAGAGAAAGTTCCCAGTTACTTGACATCTGAAACTAAGATAATAAATTGTCACAGTCAGTTGATTCCTGGGCAATTCCATTCTCCTGTGTATGAGCTAATCAATATGGCTTTAGAAGAATATCAAAGTACCTAATTTTTAAAGTAACAGCCACACCGAAGAACTTGAGTGACTTATTGAATGAACAAGTCATTTAAATATGCTCTAACCACAGGACCCAAGCTGAGTGAACTTGGTCCTTTACCTCAGGCAGGAAGATATTGACAATGTATAGTTTGTTTGTTTGTTTGTTTCAAAATATACTTTTGGAAAAACTCCCTTTCCATACAATGAGGGAAACTTAAGGTCAAGTAATGTGCCCCTATGCAGTCTTGACTTGAAGTCCATGAGTTAAAATTCCAAGTTATGGCAGAAGACTCAGCTTGAAGCTGTCAGAAAGTCATTGCTCTTTTAGTAATAGTGCAAGGATCGTTATTTCAGTTGTACATCTGTCCATGGCTAAATCCTACTGGAAACTTCAGAGCAAATTTTGGCTGTATTTAAAAAAGGCTATACTAAAGATCATGTCAACCGATGCTAGCATAAGGATCATTCATCACTATCTTGGTCTCTGTATGCAACTGTAATAAACTGCTTTATGCCACAAATCTTAGCCCTTATACTTAAACCTTGCCTCAGTGACAACATAGAGACCCAAGAGTATGAGAGTACACCTTCAGAAGTAGAATATTGGTCTACTCATTGAAACACATGCTTGCAAATGTCAATGTTATGAGTAACCAGAGAAACTGGTAGAATTAGAACTACTCTTTTTTATAATTCCACTGCTACAAATACAGTTTTAGTATTTGTCATATGTTTAATTCCCAAATATTAGTGTATGTTACCAACTAGTATCTTCTTAATAAACAAAAATCTTAGATATCCTACTGGTTTTTCCCCTTACATTAAGATTCAGTCTTTCAATTTTGTTTTCCCTTGTTTCTGCGAATGTAACTGGGAAATTTGCAATTTCTTTTGGTGAAAGAGGAATACGATGCACCATATTTGTTTTAATAAAAGTCCCAGACTTTTTAATGGCTTAGAACTGCATTCCAAACCATGATTAATAATAGCATTAGCTAGCAGTCCTCAAGATCAGCATTATTTAATTTTTAATTATTTAATTATATTTAATTATTTACTGTTGAAAGCTGATGTGGTACAAAGAGAACAGGATTGAGAGTCAGAGGGTACAGGTTCACATCTAGCCTCTGTCCTTTACCTTCTTCACTTTGACTCAGTCACTTGACCTCTTGGGCTTCAGTTTCCTCATCTGAAAAAATAAGGGGTTTGGACCAGATGGCATCCCAAATCCCCTTACAGATCCTGTGATCTAATGTATGTTTAAGGGAGTCAGAAATTTATATTCAATTTATCAGTGATTAGATGAATATTAACATTATTTAGTTAATAATTATAGATATATAATTAATGGATATATAAATTATAGACATAATTTAATAGATAATTATGTTCACCACATTATTTTGAATTGGATCGTAGATATCATTTAAAGGAAAATGTATCCTAATAGTAGCAAATTCTGGACTTTAGGTATAACATATGCAAACACGTGTATATGTATATATGTTTGTATGTTAACATGCATACATACATTTGTACATATAATATTTCTGTATATATGTATATGTATACTTGTAGCTAAAATCCAAATCATACCTAAAACTGAAATTTCAGGTCTATTCAAGAAGAAAGAATGATTTAGAACGTTTCTTAATTAGGGCATTATATTTCTATGGTCCAAATAAAAAATATTTTCTTGGTTTAAGATTTTCTTATTTTGTTAAGATCATTGGTAGACACAAATAAATGGACATTTGTCAAAATTTCACAAGTATATTTGAATATGCATACTTTCTATTTCAAAGTAGAGACTTAGGATCAGCCAACATGTTCATGTGCTATAAAGATACAGGCTCTTTCTTAAACTAGGAATGATTGTTATTCACATTTAAAATGTAAGTAGGTTCTTGATTCATTAATATTTCTTCACCATGAACACTAACCTGCCCTTAATGAGTTTCTGTATTTATCAGTCATGTTTCTATTTTACTGTATAATACATAAGCATTTTAGGTTTTTTAACTTATTAAAATTTCCCCAAAACATAACCACTTACATTGTTTTTCATAAAATGATCACTGCCCAAAGAATTTAGAAAGTTTTTGAATAACCTAGACTTTACAAAACCCACATTGGCTCTCGAATATATTTGTTTTTCATTCAGTCAGCTTAATTTTGCTCTACATGTGTAGATAGCATGTTGGCCTGTCAGTAAACATTTATGAAGCACCTACTATGTACAGACACTGTGCTGAGTGCTAGAGATAAAAAGAAAAGCAAATGATAGTCCCTGCTCGCAAAAACTAGGTTAACTATATCCCAGCTATATATAGCTTTACTTCACTCCAGGGCCATTTTCAAGCTAGGATATCTATTCTATGATCAGAGTTCCCATTCTCCTCATCCCTTTTCCACTGAAACCTTGGATTCTGTTCCCAGAACCATCCCAGATTCTAATAAGTGGGCTTTCAACTTATCTTGCCCAAAACAAAGCTTCCATGTCATTTTCTGGACATTTCCAAACCATAATGCCATGTTTTCTAGTTCTTTATGTGTTGTCTACCCGCATGAGAATGCAAGCTCCTTGAGGTCAGGCATTGTCTTGCTTGCATATATTTGCTTAATATAGTATCTAGCATATAGCAAATGCTTCATAAATATGCATTTAGAGTATACCCAGCAGCAATGGCTTAATAAATAAGCACTTATAGTATACATGGCATATAGTAAGTGCTTAATAAATGCTTTTCATTCATCCATTTGTTCATTTGTTCAGTCAGTAAGTGACAAGAAACCCAGAAATTCTGGTATATTTTGCTCATAAAGCCGTCTTCTCAGACATAATGGATCATATCTACTCAAATATTACTTTATTTCTGTGATCGTATAGACCTCACCTAAGCCATTCTAATCTATATGATGACTCTTCTTTTTGCCAGCAGACCCTTAGAAGCTAACTGACTTATTTACTGTGAACATGGCTCATTTTTTAAAGGCAGACCCTAACAGGATTTCTGTAGGGGGAAAATTGTCTATTAAGTTATTTATGGAATTTTATTTGCTAATGATCAAAGTGAGTGAGAGATTAAAGTTCACTTTAAGGGCAACATCACAAGAATCAAAAGCAGCAGATACATATCCACCTCCCTGTGTAGTTGTCATGGGGGATTTAGGTAGAATTGAGGGGAGAGAGGAGGCCAGAAAAGGAAGAGAGAGCCCTCTAACAAGCACTTGTGACTTAGAATCTGTACCATTTATATTGAGAGATGAACAGACCTCCATGTCAACTATGGAGGTTGTTTACAGCTTCAAAATGAACTCTTCAGAGATACTTAAATGAAGGAATGAATGAATACCAGCTCTTCAACTTACCTTCCTAACTACCCTCTTAAATTTTTTTTTAAATACTAGAAATGTATAAGCCACTAAGGCAACAATGTAAATTGTAACTAGTTTACAGGTCAAGGACATGCCCAAAATTAAGCTTGACCTAATACTTCGTGGTAAATTTTAAAAATTTTTTCTAAACTTGTGATTTTGGGGGGGGATAGGAAACTCCCTCCATTTGTGTAGATTGGCATTTCCTCCATAATTTATAATTAGAGAGCCTTAGAGACAGTGAGAGGTTAAGATACCTGTCCACTGCCATGCAGCAAGTACATGTCAAAGGCAAAACTTGGGTGGAACCTTGGTCTTCTTGACCACAAACTATCTTTCTATTCATGAGGCAACGCTACAATAAAAATACAAAACAAGTGCTATTATTGAATTGACTTGTGCAACTGGATCTCATTTTATCAGGCACCCATATCTCTGGGTCAACAGTTTTTCCTTGAAGCTTGAAAACTTGGAAGTTGAATGGTAGAGCTTTTGAACTATCTATAAAACTGTTCTAGAGCCTCTAGATACAATTTAGCTGCTGAATTTCACTTTGAGTTAGTGCAAATGTGTTTATCCAAAGGATAACAAAAAAGTAGCCTCTGAAAGAAAATAGAACATTAGTGTGCTCTTAAATTAAGATACATATTTGAAAAGAGTACCTATTCATTATATTACATCAGTGCCTAGAAAAAAAGATTCATTAAGTTTAAGTGAAAATTATTTCCCTGAGGCAACTAAAACAGAAACTCAGGATCTGAAGTGACCTAACTCTGAAGGCCTTCTAGAGAAAATTGGTTTTATGTTAAAAAAAATCCTTGGAGGACAAAACCCATGACATATAAGACCCTTACATCATAATAATACCTAACATTGTATCTTAAAGTTTGCAGATTACACAAATGATCTCATTTGAGCCTCACAGTGAACACTGTCAGGCAGGTAATAACAGTATTATTAGACCCAACTTGCAGATGGAAAAACCGTTTCAGAGAAGTGAAATGACGTACCCACTGTCACATAGCTTCTGAGTGTTTATGGCAGTATCTGAGCCCAGATGTAGTAGCTACCTTCAAATCCAGCATTATAACCACTTTTCCCGTGAAGTTGTACAAATAACAATAGTCACCATGTCCAAGCCACCTCTACTGTTTGATCGACAGTCTCACAGGGGTACAACTGAAAGTGGTTCCTTCTAACACCAGGCATATGAGGGAGAAAGCAAAACTGACTAGGTCAGAGCTGTTCTACCATGATTCCCATCTTCCAGCCAGATGCAATGCGTCTTCCCTTGGCCTTTCTCACAAGCTGAGAAAAATAGATCAAAGATTTCAGAATTTAATGGAACCTTAGATGTAAGGCTGTGCTGGTCAATTTTCAACAACCAGCTTTGGGAGAGGAGAGATGAGTAGGGCAGAAATGAACACAATACACTTTGAAGTTTAATCTTCATTATTGAGATTTTCTGCATCAGTTTCCTAAGTCTGGACAATGAACAAAGAGATAAATCAAGCCCTGACTTGTAACATTTGCCAATTTCTGAAATATAAACACTCATGAGGCTCAGGAGCTGGTTAAAGCTGGCTCCAGCACTCTCTTGCTAAAGGTTATTGAATCTCATTCTAGAGATAAAGAAAGAGACTCTCAAAGATTTAGTGATTTGCCCAATGTCATATAGCTAGCATGGAAAGCAAGATTTGAACCTAAGTCCCCCCCGAATTCCTGTAGTGTTCTGTTCACTATGCCATAGTGTCTCCAGCCCTTATTGATGAAATCATTTATAAAGAGCCAGTGCACTGCTCAGAGTTATTTACACAATACTTAGTTGTGGAGCATCTCAGTCCCTTCTTTCCCTCGTATTTAGCCATTTTTTTCTCTTGGTTAGAATGCCAAACAACACATGCTTAGCAGAACTCATATTTGTGAACTGGAGTAGGTTAGTAGGTGCTCTGAGCCAGGTACACAGGAAACTCAGCTGTTAGGAGTTCTGATGTGAGTTGAAGATAACCAAAAAAGTATCAAAGAAATTTACGTTAGAAATTTTTTTTTGTTACTCCCTTGTTCCTTTATTCTTTATTTACCCATTCTGAGGTTTTCTGAAATGTAAATGGACTTTTTATCCAACTCCAAATACTGGGATTTTAGGTAAGCCTAGTATTAAACCTTAGAAAATCAGCATTAGGAAAATTAAACTGAAATGTAAACAAGAGGGAAGGTGTGTAGGTGACATGCATTTTAAGTGCATGTAAACTCTAGATTTTTTTAAGGAATCACCATAGAAACCAACCGTACAGTATTTGTTCTACTTGACAATATACAGAATGCTATAAAATGTGTTTTTAAAGTCATATTTAAGAGGAACTCAAAAGCAAAATAAAAGCACAAGGAGGACGAATTAATGTATATAACAAGACTATTCCTCCAATTTCTTGTGAAATACAAAAAGCAATGGGAAGACTGTACCTAAACACTGAAGTATTGAAAAATATTTACATTCTGTCACTTAGAATGGAATTATATGATTCTAGGATTCTGAAAAATTATGTAAAGTTAAATGTTATCATGTCTAACCCCCAGATTACAGATTAATTGCATGGCATGCCATGAATTGCAATTAATTTTTCACCATTACAATGGAAAGATCCCCACTAGGGGAAAAGGAAGGAGACTGAGAAAGACACCTTCCCTTGCTTAAATGCAGAGATGGGGGTCAAAAGGTTTGGAAACTTGCATGTAACATCAGGCTTTTTCAATGTGTAAATTGGCTTTGCAAAATAATCTTCCTCCTCCTCTTCATCTTTTCTTCTCATAGTAGCATAAATATGTATCTGTGTGTATATATTTATATGTACATATATATGCACATAGATGTACTCTTTTTTTTAACCTTATAGGTCCAGTAACATACCAAGAAAGATGCCTTACACAAGACCTTAATAAATGCTGCTTAAATTGAATTGATCTGACTAGGGTGGGTAAAGACACAATCAGATAGATAGATACATGGAAGATAGATGGATAAAAGAGCAAGCACTTAGTAAGTGCTGTGTTCCAGACTCTGTGTTAAACTAAGCACTGGGGATAAAAATATGAACAAGCAAGAAAGTCTCTGCCCTCAATGAGCTTACATTTTAATTAGGGAGACAACAGGTAAAGGAGTGCTGGAATTTGGGGGAAGGGAAGAGTGAATGTGGGGAAAAGATGAGACTTCAAGAAGGAGGCCAGGGCCCTGGCAAGATAAGGCAAACCACTCATCAACTAGAGCCTGGGGAGGAGTTGAAGTGTCTGTTGGAGTGGACATCATCAGAGAGTGTGTCCATGTCTTGGAGACTTTGGGAAATGTCGTATTGATGAATTTATGGTAATGAATTGACAAGTGAAATTGAGAATGCTGAGATGAGAATGTACTATGACTTTAACAGAAAAAAATTGTAGTTGTCTAAGGAAATTTCCTTTTCTCCCAGAAAACATACAGAGACTTCCGGTTACAAGGTGTATTGGAGGGAACACTAAACAGTAAAACCTATGAAGCTCTTCACAGCCGCTTGACAGTGGAAGAGGCCACAGCCTCTGTTTCTGATGGAGGAGGACTTCAGGGCATTACAATGAAAGACAGCGATGAGGAAGAAGAAGAAGGATGAGAGCAAGTAGATTCTCTATTAGTGACTTAACGTTGTTAATTTTGTAACTTGTCCTAGTAATTAAAGTTAGGGATTTGACCACATATAAATAACTATATTTCATTCCACTATTTTAAAAAATGATTATAGAAGCAGGATTAAAAGGGGAAAATGCCAAGGATTTCAGGAGGGTAAAATTATCCTCTTCCTATCCAGCTTGACACAGAGCTGAGTTTTGCTTTCATTTGTAACTGAGATATGTACCTTTCATTTCTTGAATCTGACATTTATTTCTCTATATCCATCGAAGTATGTCTTGTGCATAAAGCAAAAATATGTACCTCAAATTGTGCCCAGAAGTCATTCATCACTGTGCCAATTATTCAGTGCCCTTGTTAAAAGATGGTGTACTTTCAGATGTATAATTTATATGTAAGTTTCCTGTTATGTAGTTAATTTGCCATGTTGTGATATGTATTCAATGTTAACCCAGGTTCTTAGTGCTCTCAATTGGTATACAACTATCTTTAGCAGCCTAAAAGGACTGCTAAACACACCTACAGATTAGACTACTTTATGGCCTTGTGTCTTATCCAATTCTGTACATTCATCTTGGCAAGTTTAAGGGATTCCAGGGTGTGAGATAGGGGAGCTGTCATCAACACATCAAACTTCTCTTTCTTTGTGTAATAGCAGGAGCTTGCAGGCAATAAGTCATAAAATGTATCATGAGTACTTCTGTATTTATCAAACTTTGTATAGATTGAAAAAGAATTAAAAGATGTTTTCAGTATTTCAAACATCCCACTCATCTAATGTGCTTTTGACTCAAATTAGGAATGGCATTAGAAATTTGAATGAATGAATGTATTTCGCATATTTTTGTAGCAAGAAAAAGTTTATTAAACACTTATGTGAGATCTTAAATTACCTTATTTATCTCTATTTTGAAATTTTTCCTTCTATAGCCCTGAACACAGGGTGTTCCAGAAGTCTTAGTGCAGGTTTAAACTGACTTTTGGGACACCCTGTGTATAGATAATCATAGAATTTTATAACTTGGAGATCATTTAGTTCACTTATTTTACAGATGAGGAAACTGAAGCCAACAGTTACAATGGGGGTATATGATTTGGAGCCAGCTGGAATTACTTGAGGAGAGATCCAATTGTTAATTTTTTAGTATTAAGATTTACACATAAGAAATCAACAAATCAAGGCTTAATCTAAACATTATTGTTTTGTTAATAATGCAGATTAAACTTACAAGTGTGTCCTTATGCTATTTTTTTTAAGTATTGAGAGATTGTTGTTAAACATTCACCAGTACAACCCTGGTTACAAGGCCAAGATTAGAACCCAGGTCTCCTGAGTTTTGTAGTTTTTTTTTTTTCAATCAGTCTCACTGTATTCTGCCTCATGTGTTCAAGTGTGTGGCAAAAGGGGACAACAGGTCACATATGCATGTCTTACCTTTGACAAATCACTCAATCTCAATGGGTCTGTAAAGTGAACATCTATTTTTTAAAAAATGATATTGAATGAGGTATTCTATAAAGTGCCTTCTAACTCGACCACGTTGGTGAAAGAATAGGGGTTAATAAATATAGTGCCTAATCATTTTTTAAGAAAAGAAAAAAAAAAGGAGGATCACAAATATAGAGTTGGGTAAGCCTTTCCTTGATAATCTAATCAAATTCTCTCTTTTTACAAATAAGGAAACTGAGGCCCAGGAAAGTTAAGTGACTTGACTAAGGTCTCCTAGACCTTGCATTAGACCAAAGCCAGAGCAGAACTTGAATCTAGGTGTCCAGACACCAAATCCAGCACTCTTTTCACTGCCCCCCTCTACACATTTAGGTGAAGAAGGAGAAAATAGCCTAGCTACACGCTGGTATCATAAATGAATGGGTTTGTTTAAATGACAAAACAGGGAGAGAGAAAAGGGGAAGCAAAATGGTCTTTGTAAAGAAAAAATAATATTAATGCCTATTCAAGAGAGAAGAAAGAAACATAAAGGGCCTAATGTAAAGTTGTGGGGATCCAGCTGTGGCTTACATTCTGCTTTCAAGGATTTTTCCTCTTGAAGTCCCAGTAGTTTTCTTTCCCTACCCCTGATAAGGCAGGAAAAGAGATCTCCTGATGCTGGTGGGTGAGTGTTTCGCATTAAAAGACTTTTCTTCCAAGATTTATGAAGGGGGGACGCCGGGGAGGAGGGAAGGAAAAAGTAGAAAATGGAAAGGGAAAAGGTAGTGTCAGAGGGCCAGGTGGGAAAAGAGTTTATAGCTTCTTCTCAAACCGGAGGGGAAGGAACAGGAGCGGGGAGAGGAGAAAGTCCTAAATCCCTGCTTCTCCAGTTCCGTTTTCACTCTCTGGTACTCACAAGGATTTGTGAACGCTTCAGCGTGGTCTATGAAAAGTAACAAAAATCACTCCCTGGTAGGCTATTGAAATGAAAGAGATCTGCTGAAGGCTCCAACCCCAGTACGTCTCGGGTGGGGCTGGTGACCTCGCTGTCTAACTCCCTGGGGTCCCCAGCGAAGCGCTCACACTCTGGGTCCAACCCTCCCTCTGTGTCTGGGACCCTGGAGAGTGCGCCTCTCGATGTATTAGGCCAGCTCGGCGGCACCCGTTCCTGTAAAGACCAACCAAGACACCTAGGGCCTGAATGGGACTTGAGGAACTTTTACATTACTATTACAAAGAAGATTAAGAAAAGGGAGCGGCGTAAGGGAAGTAGGGAGAGTTTCTTTTTGTTAAACATTTCCCACTTCTCTGGTCTGGCAAGATTGATATCCCTAAAAGACATTTGCCCATCACTGACTGAGGACTGAATGTCCCTGAGACCGTTTCCAGAGACTCCAGTGCGGTACTCCGAAAGAAGCCCTCAGTTACCTACGTTAACACTGCACCCCCTTTCCCTCTCCCCTTGCACTATATACCCCGAAGAACTCGCGGTACGAGGAATCTTATAGTATGGAGATTTGAAGAATGTGTAAAGTGAGCATCGGACCCACCGTACAGGGCTGAACCTGAGCGAGAGGAACAAATCATAAGATGTTAAAAGCTGCATTTGAGCCGTTTACGTGTAGTGACACACAGACAAGTGAAGTTTCTAGCCCTTTCCCAGGAACTTTTAAACTTTAAAAAATAAAAACTGCAGAATTTCACGCTCGTTCCTCACGCTGGAAGCACACTCAAAGTTACAAAATTACTTAATCCAACAAACATTTTTTAAGCTCTTATTGTGCTAAACACTCCAATAAGGGCGGGGGTGGGGTGGGGGTGGGGGGAGGAGAGACAGGAGACAACAAAGTTTAGGTTTTTGAAAATTGTCCCTGGCCTCAAGGAACTTAGTCTAATAGGGGGATATAGCACCTCCACTTTTCTTTCACTTAACAGATTTGTAATTTCATGGGTGGGGGTATTCACCCATCACTGTACAGTCCAACACTCGAGCCCTTTCCTGTTTGATAGGCCCTGTAAGAGCTTATGCTAGGGCATGAGCTTGAAGAACCTAGCACCTCCACACAAGATGAAACATTGGAGAAAGATTTCAGTAGATAGCTACACTACCGTGTCATACTGGACAAGGAGATTCAAACCAGGTGCCAAATGAGGCAGGCAACCTGGGGTAAAGAATCCAGCCCTGGAGTCAGGCAAACCTATTTTCAAATCTTGTCTCAGACTTCTCTCAGCTGTGTGACCCTAGACAAATCATTCAAATTCAGTCTCAGTTTCCTCGGCTGTAGAGATGATAATGATAGTACCTACCTCAGAAGGTTGTTGTGAAGATAAAATGAGATGATATAGATGGAAAAGGGTTTTGCAAACCCTAAAATGCTGATAGGCACAGATCGTTAGACATTTCATTGAGGATGTGAGGCATTTGAATTGAACTGAAAAGAGCAGAACTGGTGCAGCAGAAAGAAGAGTGCGGGAAGGCACTCCAAAGAGAGAATAATTTGAGCATAAGCTTACAGGTGGGAAAAACAAAAGCACACACTCAGGACCAAGAGGAGTCCAGTGTGCCTGGAGCATGGTTAGTGACAACGCTAGGCTTGGAACTTGAATCTCCTTATTCCCAGACCATTAGTCCATTAGACTGCAAAGAATTTCTATTCCACTTGAGCTGGGAAATGGGGCTGGGGGGTGGGGGAGAATGTCATTTTCTTTTCCCAATTAAAGTTCTTCATGAGTACCATTTAAAGGTCCCCAGGAAAAGCACTGGTAACTCCAAAGTGCTTAACTTCTCCCAATGGACTTGAATTTCCTGTCCCAGATTCTACTCTGGTCATGGGGAGGAAAGGAAGTCTGAGCTGGAAAAGGAGACTTGGAATTAGAGTCTTAAAGCTAAGAAATGTCCAGTAGAGGAGAATGACCTCAGTCCCACTGAATGTATCTTGTGAGACAGTCAGTAATAAATCCACAGTTAGTCTCTGGGAATAATCCTTGGTTCCTAACCCCAGAGCCTAGAGCAAGGGTAAAGATGATAAATCTGGAGCAGGATGAGGTCTCAGAGACAGTGCAGTACAGTCCCCTCGTTTTACAGCTAAAGAAAAAGAAGGACCATCATTAAGATGAAATAACTTGCAAGGTCACAGAAGTAGTAAGCATCAAAGACAGGATTTGCATCTAAGTCATCTGATTCCAGAGCCAGTGCTTTTTTTTTTCTCTTACCAGGATGCCTAGTAAGAAGTCTGTAACTGATCTAATAGCCCCTGTCAATTTAGGGCATCAAGGTGGTTCAGTGCCAGGCCTGGAGTCAGGAAGACCTGAGTTCAAATCTAGCCTCAGCTACTTACTAGGTGTGTCACTAGACAAGTCACTTAACCCTGTTGGCCTCAGTTTTCTCACCTGTGGAATGAGCTAGAGAAGGAAATGGCAAACCACTTCAGTATTTTTTGCCAAGAAAACCCCAAATGGGATCATGAAGAGTCAGACAACACTGGAACAACTCAACAAGTGTTATTTATTTTCTTGGACCCTTCTAAAAATCATTCTAAGGTTAAGTGCATTTTATTGGTGGCAAAGCATCAAAAACAACTTTTGGTGGGGTAGATTGTAGCTCTAGACACTCTCTACACATACAAACACACATATACGTATATATAAATTATATATACGTATATGTGTGATAAGCGTATATATATACACATACATGTACATATATACACACATATACATGTATACATATATACATACATACTTATTCATGCTCAGTATCCACTGCATCTTGGCTTGTCTTTCTAAGGTCCTCCATAGCCTATCCAAAAGAACGGAATTTCTTGAGTATCAGAGCCACAAAAGCTGTTTGTCTATCCATTATCCATCCCATCCCTCTCCCTAGACCAGCTCCTTTTTCTGTTCTTACAAGTCCCTGACTTTTGGGCAAGTGATTAATGGTAACATATCTTCAGCCTACTTACATGCACCATGAATATTTCTTTTTATGAAAAGAGAACAAGCTGGCTTGTTCAGTTGATTTTATATGAGAAACCATGTATTTCCAGAAATACAATGGACTGAGAGGTCTAGAGAATATACTATAATAACAATAACAGCCAAGACATATATTTCTTTAAGGTTTGCTAAACACTTCAGTCACAGTCAATAAACATTTATTAATAACCTATTAGATGCCAGACACTGCTAAGTAGTAGAGTTACAAAGAAAGGCAAAAGACAATTCCTGGTTCTCAAGGAATTCACAACCTAATGGGGAAGATATAGCAACAACAGTGTACAAGCAAGATACATACAGGATAAACTGAAAATAAACAGAGGGAAGGCACTAGTGTTG